TGGGTCATTAAGCCAGCCCTTGGCCCAAGTGGTATTGCACTGAGTAAGGTAGAATGATTAGCTCAGCCTGTGCCACATGCAAATCCTTGTGGCAGGGACGAGCCTGGCTACATCTGATTAACTTAAGACTGTCATACCCACCAGCTCCATTTACGGTGAGGGTATGTGAATTCTCTGAAGGAAAGAAGACTGGGCAGATGGTTACTCTAGTTTCGTTGATATTTAAACTATATTGTCAAAGAGGAATACTTTTTTTAAAAAAAGATGTCATGTATGTTGTGTATGTATTTGGAAAGCTCGGGCAGAGGGAAGGGCAGAGGGAGAGAGAGAGAGAGAATCTCAAGCAGACTCCATGTTGAGTACAGACCCAGTACAGGGCTCCATCCCATGACCCTGAGATCATGGCTCAAGCTGAAATCAAGATTCGGATGCTTGACCGACTGAGCCACCCAGATGTCCTAGTACTTTTTTTGCCTGATGAAGAAGTGAGGGAAAAATTTGCCATTGCAGGCAATGGGAGGGATTCTGGGATTTGAGGCAAGGGATGGAGATACACTTCCATTTGAGAGTGTCACTCTGGCGGCCATGCAGATGGACTTGTTCAGAGCCAAGACTCAGAAGCAGGGAGACTAGTGAGGACACCCTTGCCATAATGCAGATGGAAATTGGATGTAACAGGTAAGTGCCATAGAGAGCTGAAGATACTGATGTAGAACATTCTACACGTGCAGGTGGGGAGATAAAGGAGGGAACATTAAGGTAGTAATAATGTTGTATTCGGGAAGCAGAAGATGTGGAAAATGACAAGCAGAACCAACAGAAACTGGTCTTTCGAAAAAGTGACCTGTCTAGGATAACTGCAGTTTCTGACTTGAGTAACATCATTTGCTGACGTGAAGACTGGGAAGAACAGATGTGAGGCTGGGGGAGGAGGGATGGCCAAGATGGTGGTGAGGCAAGTGCTAAGTTTGAGGGAATGGGTATGAACCATCGGCCATTGGATATGGGAATCTGGAGCTCAGAAGAGAGATCTAGGCTGAAAACACAGATGGGGAAGTTATTAACATACAGTTTTCTGGTCAATGAGACTAAAGGGAATCATGTCGTCTAATTGTCTGGAGTGGGAAGAGAGTGAGTGGTTTTGCCTTCATCTGGGGAAGGAGAAATCTAGGAAGCAGCAGGTTAGCCAGTGAGAAGCACAGCTCGGATCCCAGCAGCCCAAGCAGGTGATACCCGGAACCCAGCAGTGCCCTCTTGGAACTTGCTGGACGTTGGGCTCGAAACCGATTGTATACCGTGGCTAGCTGCGCGTCTTAACTCTTCTGTTGGGTTAGTAGTGACTTGAGGACCTAGCCACATCACTGTGGAGGGGGACTCAACTCATCAAAGATTCCTCCAACAGCCACTGATGTGCAAAGGGTCCCTGGGATGGGGTCAAGCCTGAGTCTGCAGCAGACGGAACACAGATGGGAACATGCTCATGCCGGTGCCTGGTTGTATATGTTAACAACTGTTTGGTTTTGAGTTTTAACCTAATAAGGAGTTTCCTCAGGGAAAATGTGAATACGGCACCAGTGGGAAAGTACTGCTTTCCCACTGTTGCCTGTTCCCACTCCAGCATGCTTTGGTCTGTGTGGCTAAAAGCCAGGATGCTGCCTTGCCTACCCACCCTAGATCCTATGAGTCCCAAGTCCCACCAGTTCTGGTTCTTGTATCTGTCCTTTCCTTTCCATTCTGATTGGGACAGCTTGTTAGTTTACCCGTCCCCACCACACCTGTGGCATCCTTCTAAGACATTTAATGATCTTTTCATCTGGAGGCCAGCAAACTCTGACTGCAGGCTAAATCTGACCTGCCCCCTCTGTTTGTAAATAAAAGTTTATTGGAACACAGCCACCCCCGGGGGGCCCAGGTGGCTTAGTCAATTAGGTGTCTGCCTTGGGGTCAGGTTATGGTCCCGGGATCCTGGGATCAAGCCTCGTGTTGGGCTCCTTGCTTAGTGGGGAGTCTGCTTCTCCCTCACCCCCTGCTTATGCTCTCTCTCTCTCTCTCTCTCTCAAGTAAATAAAATCTTAAAGAAAATAAAAAGAAGAACAGAACCATACTCATTCATTCATATATTGTCCAAGGCCATTTTTGCACTATAACCCCAGTTTTGAGATTGTATATTCTACAAAACCTAAAATGTTTACTGTTTGAAACTTTATAGAAAAAGCTCCCATCCCCTATTAATCTATCCTATACACCAGTGTCAGATTAATGTTCCCCAAATGCCATTTTACTGTATCACTCTCTTGCTTAGAACCCTGCAATATGCCATTGCCTGAAAGATGAAATCCGAACCTCTTGACCTGGCATTCAAGGCCCTCAATGGTCTAGTCCTAGCTAATCTTTTGAATCATTGATCTCTATTCCAAAGAGCAGATTTCCGTCCTCACTATCCCTGGAACATGCCAGGACATTTCTACCCTTGTTCACACAACTCCCTTTCCCTGGAATGTGCTGTCCATTAATTTATATCTACCTGATTCCTACCCATTCTTAATGAACTATCTTGAAACCTGCATTGTTCGTGATCATGTCTGTTCACAGTGACCACCAGTCAGTCTACTGCTTGGGCATACAAGGGTTCATTGCTTATACCATTGGTAATATTTTTTCTATTCACGGTATAGTTCCCTCCTATCATGGTGGGCAACTCCGGAGTGAGGATTTTCTATACAAACAAAGACCCAGAGGTGGGAAAGCCTAGGTTTGCAAATGACCAGACATGTAATTAGAATACTGGCTTAGCACATTCAGGTTCTATAACAAAATACCATAGACTGTGTGCATTATAGACAGCAGGAATTTGTTTCCCACAGTTCTGGAGGCTGGGAAGCCCAAGATCAAGGCATTGGCAAATTCCGTGTCTAGCGGGGGCTTGCTTCCTGGTTCAGAGATAACTGTCTTTTCACTGTGTCTTCACACGGCAGAAGGTGCAGAAGCGTTCTCTGGGGTTTCTCATATAAGGGCACTAGTCCCACTCAGGAGGGCTCTGCTCTCATCACCTCACCACTTCCCAGAGGTCCCCACCTCCTAATCACTGTCGCTTTGGGGATTACGTTCTAATATGCGGATGTCGGGGGAGGACGTAAGTGTTCAGTCTGTAACAGACACATAACACACAGTTTCACGTGCTTAAGTATGGTGTCTCTGCATCTGTGTCTGTGACATCCTAGATCATGGATGTGGATCTAAATTTGGCCAACTACATACATACTTTGACAGCCAGTGGGAGCAAATGATGAAGTTGTTCTAATGTGGAGGAGCTAGTCGCGAGGATATAGAGAAGGTAGCCAGTTCTGGAGGCCCTTGCTTTATCACCTGGCACTTCCGAGACCCTGGAGAAGGGGGCTCTTCCAATGAGGCCTCACTTTGCCATCCACTGTCATATATCATATGTTCTGACACATACTCTGGGCTTAAGCAGCATCCATAATGCGCCACGGATCAGAGTTCTTTGGTAAATGGTGAAGTTCTCAGGCCTCACTTTGGTGGGGAGGTTATACCTCTGACGTGGCTATCACATCTCCCAGTGGCTGGAGATAATAAACCAATATTTCTTACAAGTCTGTGCAGTGCCCAGAGGAACTTGGTTGTAACGCAAATCATTGCTGTGTTGACTTGATCATCAGTGGCGCGAGCCCATCCCCAGAAACAGCTACTCCATAAAATACAGCCTTCTGTTGACACAGAGCACGGCAGCCGGCCTTCTGTGTTATTGTCTTTCCTGGGGTTTGGCGGTCGTATTGTAGAATGCCACTCTGTCTGTCTAGCAAGTTTCTCCCTGCATATGGGAGGGAAGGAAAGGAATCCAGGGCAGTGAATGTCTCGACAGACTGCCCCACTGTGCACTTTGGAAACAAAACGTGGAACAAGCAAGCTCTTATTAAAGGCTGGCCTTTCTGTTCTTAAATCAGTCATGTTTATGTGATGTCTGTTGTCTGCATTTGAGAAATGTGAAGGAGAAAAGCATTAAGTGTGTATTCCAGTCGAAAGGTTTTGCTCTAAATACAGGGGAATCACATCCCTTTAGAGCCGGCCTCTAGGCATTACCTAGAAGTAAATGCGATGGCAATAAGCATAAGAACAAGTAACATTTATTGAGCATTTACTATGTGCCAGACCATTGTTCCAAGCCCTTTATATCACCATCTCATTGGATCCACGCCCCACCCGTATGGTTTAGGTACAAATTATGATCTCCTCTTTATGTGAGAGAAGGCTTGGACCCAGGGTTGTAAAAGAACTTGCCAGAGGTCACACAGGCAGCAAAAGGCAGAGCTGGGAGTTGGATCCAGGCAGACCAACTTCAGATTTCATATTTAACATAACCTCAGGGAGCCCCAGCCACCAGCAGTGCCCCACCTGCCCTTCCCACCCAGAGACTAGTTTCAGCAAAGACCACCCATCTAATTTGCATTGTTGGTGATATCCAACGGGAATGGTGTGTCCTACGAAACTGGAAATGATGTCGGATTACTTGTGTGTGTGATTTCAATAAAAGAAAGCTAACCTTAGAATCTCCCCTGTTTCATTCTGTCATCTTTGTAGCCGATAACCACCTCTAGCTTTTCGTTGGAGACGTTTTTATTCTTTGTCTCCAAATTAACACTGCATAGAACATGATTCTGTGAGTGTGTGTGTGTGTGTGTGTGTGTGTGTGTGTGTGTGTGGAAACCGCCTTTTCTTCTGGATTCAATTGCTACAGCCCGGCTGACTGAGGGGACTCTCCCACTCGCCGAGCCCACGGCAGGCATGTTAGGAGAAAGCTCCTGGAGGCGGAGGGGCAGGTGACATGCGTGTGTGCCCAGCATGTCTGCGAGTGTCTCTCCAGATGTGAGCTGCTGCTGCTGCTGCTGCTGCTGCTGCGGTGGCAACGGCCACTGCTTCCGGCCTTAAAATTCGTGGAGCCAACACCCACCTACTCTTACAGGCTCTCTCTCTCTATTTTCAAGGAAAAAAGAAAGACGCAGACTGAAATAGAAGGCAAGCGCCAGCAGCTTGACGAACAGATACTTCTGCTGCAGCATTCCAAGGTAAGTGGCCGATCCCACGAACCTTTTCCATTATTAGACATGCAGATCACACTCTGGAGAGCCGGGCAGAGCCTGCCCTGGCGCGAAGGCATTGCCGCTGACTGCACGAGCCCTTTCTCCTCCAGTCAGGAAACCATCCTTGGGCTTTTCTTGTGAATTTCTCCAGCGCAGGGCATTGTTAGAGCATTCCAGTTTCTGCGAGCAGGAGGAGATTACAATGTGCATGTCGACGGGTTTGGGGGCTGGTGTGTGCATGTGAAATGTGCTGGTTATATATAGAAATGGGACGAGAATCTCCACATGGTGGGAGAGGCAGCGTTCTGGGGCTGCCTCTCCAGTGTATCAGGTGCCCTGCGTGTGTGTGTGCACAGGTTCCAAAGGATCCGTTGAACAGGCTGTTCTTTTATAGATGGAACACGGGAATGTTTTCTTTCTTGATATGGAGAAAAGGGAGATAAAAGCACCGGTGATCTGATAAAAAAAAAAAAAAGAGCAACCCTGTGTATTTCCGGGGATGCATTCGTTTTATTTCTACTTTCACAATTTTGGAAGTGTTCTCTCCGCATGAGCAGTTGGTCAAAAGATGGCATTGAAATGATTTCGGTCAGTTGGGTCTCCATTGCACAGAGAGAGAGAGAGAGAGAGATGTTTCATTATTTATGTTTCTTTAAAACATAAGGCACTTAAGCATCGTAATTGATTACAGCCTACGAGAAAGCTCTGTCACTGTCACAGGGACTCCACGGGCTGTAGCATGTTGCTTTCTGCAGGCTTGCAGAGTACGGTGAACGCATTCCAGCGGCCGGCTGGGAGCTGCTGCATGCCGTCTGTGGCTCTGCCCCACTCAAGTTGCTGTGACATTCATGTACAGATTCACATTGCTCAGAGGGCTGGTCGGGAAGGTGGGGCTGGCTTTCCGGGTGATGCTGGGTGTAGACTGTTTAGATTCTTTCCAACAAGATGAGCCTTTATGATTGTATTTTCCTTTCTTCTCTAGAAGATAGCATTGTGCTAAATGAATCCTTCAGACGAGAATGATCAGCAAGCTGATTTCAAATAGCAGCATGACCTAAATCTGCTTGGCATATTTATCAGTACACTATCAACTTTAACCGGAGAAATGTGTTTAAAAGGAAGTACAGCAGCATGATACTGAGAATATTGCCCATTTATTTTTGCTCTTATAAATCCATTTATAGACCTTTCATTGTAGGAGCTTACAATACATCCCCTACGCTGTTACTCTCTCCTTACACCATTCCTCAGGAAGCACTGAGGGCTAGAGTTAGTATTTCCTTCTTGCATAGAGGGGGACTTAACATTTAGTGGAACCAAGTGAATTTTTCAAGGTCGCTCTGGACAGAGCTGGGACTGTGGCTCAGAGAAAAGTCAATTCACTCCTTACAGGAGACCAAAATGAAGTCTTGGTTTAAGGTGGATTTTTTTTAATGAAGGGGACTGGAAAAATGAGAGGCTGTTTTGACTAGGCAGACCCTCTCCCCTTTAAGCTCAACATGGTTCTTTGCTTTTGCATTCCTTAAGCCAAAAGTCAGGCGATAAACATATGTCAGAAGATTAAGTTTCCTTTTCCCACTTTTTATCATTCCAGATGCCAGATAAGATACCGAGGACTCATTCATGACTGATGCCCAGCTCAGTATCCATCCATGTGTCTGGCCATCCAGTCAACAGAAATAACAGTAAAAGGACTTAGTATTGCATGTAGAAGCAGTGAGACTCCCTCAGAGACTTGGAAACAAGGGAATCAGCTCTTTATGGTTATCCTGGTAAAATTCTCACATTGCTGGTGTAATTGGCTAGCTGAGGGAACACCCGGCCCTTTCACCAAGGTCATCTTCCTGTAACCTCGAGAGAAAGAACTAGAAGTGATGACAGTTTAATAAATGGAGACCAAGGGGTTGTGATTTTCTCTCTCTGGGGAAAGCCCATGTAGACAGAACGAGGGTAGATCACTAGTCTTGAACCATGAAAACAAAAACAGAAATGACTGCAGGTACCAAGTTCCTGTGCTCTGGTGAGGTGGGGTCTGAGGTAGGCGAGGCATGTCATCAGACCTCACTTTGGCTCAGGTGAAACTTCTCTCATGACTCTGCCTCTCTTTGTTCTGAGGCCATCATTCCCAAAATAACTGAGTTATTTTGGTGGTGCCTGACTGAGAGATATGATCACTTCAGGCACCAGAAAAGAATATGTTCTACTTTCAATCAGTTAGCGGTTGACGGGACTTGAATAGCCTGAGTCATCTTCCCTGTGATCATTCAGTTGTGAGCTCGGCAGCCTCACCTCTGGATGGTAGTAAATTCATTGAGGTTATAGTTCCTCTGTGAGCCTCTTGGTAGGGACTCCGCCAGCTTTGTCCTGGCTGTGTGGCAGCCCTGTCATCCCCTTGGCCATCCTCGGTGATAGTCATCTTTTTGAGTACCTAGTACGTACCTGGTACTTTAAATACATCCCCTCAGTAATGGCCACAAAAGAGATATTACTTTCCCTGTCTCACAGGCGAGGAAACAAACTCAAGAGGTCAGGTCATTTGCCCAGGAACATAGCGACTCTACGTGAGGAAGCCCTGGTTGAACTCTATAGCTTCTCTGCCCTCAAAACCAAGTCTTCTCCAGGTCACTGTTTTCTTCAAATGTAATGTTCCATTTTGAATAATTTGTCTAGAGAGCTGCCAGTTACCATCATCATTGTCTGTAACTCTAAGTTACACTTTCATGGACTCCAGAAAATTTAGACCATGCAGAGACATTATAGATTACTGGCAGTTCCTTGAAGTAGAAAATATTAAGAGATATGTCACCAATTAATATTTCTTCCACTAATTTATAAAATCTGAGATGCTCCCTAAAAAAATAACATATACTTAGTGTAAAGTTAAATGGAAAAGCATTAGAATTAGATTTCATGTTTATTAAGAAAGAGTTCTCATTGTCCAGTAGTCTATGGACATTTTATTCTCATGCAATGAGGGATGAATTATTTAGATAGATTTACTGGTCTCTTGTCAAACCAAAAAAAAAAAAAAAATAGAACGCAAGGCTATAGTTTTTATAATAATCACATAGTTATGTGATTAATATTTTTGGTAATTTTAATGTGTAGGATTATGCAGTGAGCAATGCCACAAAAATGGAATATTTTTACTTTATATATGGACAATAAACAAATTCTGCAATGCAATGAAAGACCCCAAGTATTGAAAGAGCTGCTACACTCCAGTGGTTAGGAAACCTCCAAGCACTTTGAAGTCCTTGCCAAATTAAACTCAGATTTCTTTTTACAAGATCCTTAGCTATTCTGAGTCTCTAATATTTGCGATGTAAGAATTTCCAAGAAGTGCTCACCTATGGGACCAGTAAGCGATTTCAATAGCTAAATTACTTTTTGCTGATTGTAAGAGAAAGGAATGCATGATCATTCCAAAAGTAAAAATGTAAAGTGTAGGAAAATATAAAGGAAAAAGAAATCAGCTGTATACTGGTCACCCAGATGTCACTCACACAGAGGTATATTCTTCTGTGCTTTTTCTCTAGTATGTTTTTATAGATTAAGCTCTATGACCCTTATTCATAAGCCTCATGAGCTGGTGATTAAAATGAAATGGTTTTAACATTCAGGTCCAAAATATATTCACCTTTACCTCTTTTTTTGATTTTGATAGATGGGCTGTTTTAAATTGTCATAAAAGGGGCACATGGGTGGCTCAGTCAATTAAGTTTCTGCCTTAAACTCAGGTCCTGATCCCAGCATCCTGGGATCAAGTCCTGGGATCCAGCCCCATGTCAGGGTCCCTGCTCAATGGGAAGTCTACTTTTCCCTCTCCTTGTACCTCCCCACCGGAACTTATGCTCTCTCTCCCGAATAATTAAAGAAATAATTAAAATCTAAAATGAGTATATACATTTTCATACAAAACTTTGATAGTTGTGATATCACATCTAACATTCTTTTTGCGTTATGATTTCTGACTTTGATGTGGTTCTTGCAAAGAACATCTCAAACATTCACCTGGGATGTTTCTTATCCTTCAATCATTTTAACCCATCTAGATTTTATTTTTCTATATGAAATAAGATAGGAATGACTTTACTTTTTACTGATGGTGAACCAGTTACCCCAACGTGATTTATTGATTAATTCATTCTTTTCCTCACTGACTTAAATATCTTCTTTATCATATCCATATTTCTCCCTTATACTGAAATCCACCATTGGTGCATTCTTCCTCTTCCATGAATCTGCCACTCCTGGGCCAATACCACCCTCATCTAATCCCTCTAGCTTTTTAATATATAACATATAATCATAGTATGTCATAAGGTAAGAGCCATCATTATTCTTCTATTGAAAAATGGTCTTGGCTTTGTATTCCAGGGAAACAATTATTTATTCTTATTGTTTTTATTATGTGACTTGTGATAATGTTGAGTTTAAAAAATAAATCAACTATGAGATTATACCAGACAGACTAAATTTAATATTCCCTTTGTGCTCTGGGTTGAATTGCCAGAGATTTGTCTATTTTATTGGTCAATCCAAGGTCCCAGCAAGAGCAGGCAGGCAGCGTGTATTGTCACACGAATCCCTTTGGAACTGTCACATTTATAAAGGTTTGTATGACAGAGGCAGCACTGTCAGAATCAAATTGTTAATATCATACCTTCAATACATAAGACGCCTTTGAATTATTTATTCATGAGCAGGGAACCCTGACTAGAGTTGTTTTTTTTTTTTTCCTAAACCAAGCTGTGAAAATTGTCATTATATTTTAAAGACCACAGCCTTTTCTTTCAAGAAGATTGAATGAAAAAAAAAAATCAAAGACTGAATTGTGACCCTATAAGATATTTATTGTCAACCTTCCAAGGTCATTTGTGACATAGCCTGAAGGTACCAGTGGGCCTTGCTGCAAACATGTTTTAGTGTCTCCCGCTATTGTGAACCTTTAGCACTAATTTTAGACTTTTCTTGGTCATTAGCATGTTTGAAAGGCCAGTTTCAAATGTTAGAGTATTGAATTGACAGGCAGGGCACACAGTGTAAAGGAACTTCACGTCCCACTTTTTCCCATCACGTCTCCACTGGCCCTTTAAACAGAGCTTGAGTAGAAGTTAGAACTTGGTTTCTTCTTCTTCTTCTTCTTTTTTTAGATTATTTATTTATTTATTTGACAGAGAGAGACAGAGAGACAGACAGAGGGGCAGGTAGAGGGGGAGGCAGGCTCCCTGCTGAGCAGAGAGCCCAATGAAGGGCTCGATCCCAGGACCCTGAGATCATGACCTGAGCTGAAGGCAGAGGCTCAACCCACTGAGCCACCCAGGCGCCCCCCAGGACTTGGTTTCTTCTATCGGAAGTCTTGGTTTGGCTTCTGTGTGGACTGAAATCATGTAACGAAAACGCAATACCAAACCAAGATCTCGCCGGGAGTCAATGGGGAGGAGTGATAATTATCATTATGATCATCATCATCGTCATCATCGCTTGATACCGTGGCTTCAGATATCATTTATGTATCAGTGACTCCCAAATGGATGTCTCCGGTTCCAGTGACCCCTGAACTCCATGCTCCTGTATCCAGCTGTTTTCCTGACGTATCCACTTGAAAGGGTCACTTCCATTTATAAGCCTCTCAAGCTTATCCTGCCCTAGATGGAAATTTCCGTCTTCTGCTGTTCTAGCCTTTGTTCTTCCTCTAGTCTTTCCAGTCTAGTGAGGATACCACCATCCACCCTTTTGCTCAAACCAACTGTCTATGTCGTCTTTAGTCCCACCCTATCCCTTGCCCCCCCCACATCTAATCTGTCAGCAAGTCATATTGACTCTCCCTCTGAAGTACACCCCGTGCCTTCCATTTCTTCTGCTGCTCCTCCGTTTCCAGCTAGCATGCTCTGTCACCTGGTGATGTAATAGAATCCAATCACTTACACTTTGTAATCCTGTCCCTTCCAAACTGTTCTTTTCCTACGGTGCCAAACTCCTTAGCAAGTCTGCAGGACCCCACCAACTCTGGCCCCTGCGCTCCTCTCCATCTCCAACTTGTTCTCCCCTCCCTTCCTCACCCCCCACTCACCGTGGTGCCACCGCTTGGGCATTCTGTCTGGTCCACAAACGCGCTGAACTCTGTCCCACATCTAGACTGTTACGTTTTCCAGTTTCTCCCCGTGAATGTCCCTTCCTTGGATCTCAGATCTCAGCTCAAGTGTTCAAGTACTCACAGGGACTTTTCCCCCCTAAAGTGTCCTCTCTCTGTCCCTATTTGTCATATTGTCCTGCCTACCTCCTGCCGTGCATGTTTCACAGTCTAAAATTATCTCACATCGTTGTTTATTGGGACAAAAGCTTAGTGACGCTGAGGACTTGCCCGTCGTCCAGAGCGGTGTCTTCAGGACCTGGCGGAGTGTCTGGGGGAATGGATGGGGACACCACTGCTCCCGAGATGGGGATGCAGAGGGAGAGATGGCTGGGTGGGAGGATGACGAGCTCCTTTTTGGGTCAGGTTTGGCTAGCTGGTGGGAAAGCTTAGGTATTCTCCAGGCACTTGGATAGTCACAGGTTCTTATGTGGGGCTATTCAAATTGTGGACCTTGGGCCAGGACCATCAATGACAGCATCACGTGGGAGCTTATTAAAATTCATATTCTTAGGCCTTACCTTAAACTTCGAGACGAGAATCAACATCTTGGGGGTGGGGAGTTGGGAATCTGTGCTTCCGTGAGCTCTCCTATAAGCCTTATGCATACTTCCTTTGTCTTGACTCTTCATAGTTGCATCTCCTTGACCAAAGTGAAGTTTGACCATTCTTCACTCCTGTAAGCTAGGATACAGTTTTTTGGTATATGCCGTCTGGACATTAAAAAAAAAGAAGAAGAAAATTTTTTATTTTTAGTGTTCACTTCTGCATGCTCTGCTTGTCACTTATTTCTGAAACACTTGGGCAGCCAGTAAGGACCAGCCCAGTAGGGGGAAATGGGTACTTTCGATGTGCCTGTGTGAAAAGCACGTACAAGTGCGTTCTAGTCTAAGGCTATAACACCACTGACCCTTAGAAACAACAGGAAGTGATCTGACGGAGGTTAAGGGAACCTTTGGTGGTAAACGTATTTGAATTGGTGGTCTGACCACGCAACATCAAGGCCAAGTGGAAAAAAATCAACTTTGCTTTTTAATTTTTGTAATGTCCAAACACCTCTGTGAAACAGACTTCTCTGAGACCAGGCCCGCTGTCTTGTTCTGTTAGAGTCTCTCTTCTTGGCTCCAGCTGTTGGGGATGTTTTGGTGACATCACCACTCACTGCCTTATCCAGAGAAGAGACAGATGTGAGGGCACGTGCTCTCGGCGCTCGTGGTCACCAGGCTGCTCTTGTCAGAAGTACTGACGGATGGCTAGGACTCAGTCAGCCAGAAATGAGTGATTAGACCCCTTCCTTGGTGGCGGGGCGGGCGGGGGGGCACAGTGCAAAGGAGAGCAGACAGAACATTTCCAGGAGCAGCCACTGGGTCACGTCTCTAGAAGCCCTGGCTCTAGAGCATCCCTCCTGGGGCAGAGAAAGCTGGGTCTTTCCAAGGCTGCCTTTCCAGAATGTCCAGTCAAAATGGACTCAAAAAGTCCATTCAGAAGTGTAGGAATTCGAGCCATTGGAACCTACCCCTCCGCATCCGGCAGCGGCTTCATAGCCCTGCATAGCTGCTGGATTTTTCAATAGAATGGTGAATCAGAACCGTTAATGAATTCTTACTGTTACTAAATGTTGGTAATTTTTAATAACTCATTTTATAGCTTCATCATAAGTAGCTCTTGTTCCTTAACCTCAAGACAAATGTGAACCTCTGGAATTGTCTACCTTTTGCTTATGAGAGTTGTAGAAAGCAAAGTGTAGTGAGTATGAGTTCTGTGTCTATAATATTGGAGACGTTCCACTCTCTCAGTTCTGTATGTCCTATTTAGTTGGCTCGAAGCCATGCGTAACCTGGCTCTTAGTCATTATAAGGGGTTCCTTTCCTTTACCTTGCTCAGCCTGCCTGAGGAGGTCAAACCGGATTCTGACGGAGGTGATATCAGGAGCCAGGGAACCCAGGGCTTACCCTATGCTTACACTATGTTGACTGGCTTCATAGCCATGACAGGACCAGGGAAAATCTGGTCACATGCCCTGCTTTTGGGGTACCCTTACAGCCTTCCAGGACCACCGACCTGACCAGGGGACACTCAGCCATGATGCCTAGGGTCCAGCCTCTACAAACATCTAATAGCCACCATCTGCCATCTAGGCACCATGTAATGAAAACCCAAATCAAAAATCCTCTCCCACACCTTCTTCACCTTGCTCTTTGTTTTAGGGAGTTTCAGCCTGCCTTTCATTTGAGCTGTTTTCATTTCCATTGTCAAAGCAGTAATGGCTCCCTCCGCCATTGCCTGAAACTCAAAACCTTTTTATTTTGGGGGGGGGGGCACCTGGGTGGCTCAGTCCGTTAAGCATCTAATTCTTGATCTCAGCTCAGGTCTTGATCTCAGGGTTGAATGCAAGCCCCATACTGGGCTCCTCATGAGCCTACTAAAAACAAACCAAAAAGAACCCACCTTTTTATTTCACTCCACAATATATTAGTACACTGGTGCAAATGGAGTACGTGATTTTAATACCATTTGGAGACCACTGCTGAGGATGGTTGGGAATCATTAAAAAGCTTCTAAGAAGTATGACATAATCTTTTTTTTTAAAAACACTTTAAGATGGACGCAATATCTGGTGATCTTAAGAAATTATATAATGAAATTGCAGTTGCACAGAAAAATGCCCTTATGTTTTAGAGATTCATACTGAAATACTTATGGGTGAAATGTCACGGTGCTTGTTATTTCCTTTAAAGTGCTTTGGTAAAGAACTTGTGGGAAATAAGGCAAACTGTTTATAATTGTAAAGCTAGGTGAGTTACACGGACATTCATTATCCTGTTTCCTGTTTTTCTGTATGCTCTCAAAAGCTTTTTATAGTCAGAAATGCAGAAATCAGTCCCGCTGGTGGCTCTCTAGGGGTTGGGCCTGGGGGAGGTAGGGAGCCAAGTCAGAGAGGAGGCGAAGGCGGCAATTCAGGTGACCACTGACGAGGGGCGGAGCTCGAACCGAGGCACCGCGGCACAGAGAAGGCTGTGGACGGAAAGGTATCATCTAGTCTGTTCTCTTCCCTCATTCCCACAGTCCAAAGTGCTTCGGGAAAAATGGCTGCTGCAGGGTATCCCCGCCGGAACTGCCGAAGAGGAGGAAGCCAGGAGGCGGCAGTCTGAGGAGGATGAGTTCCGAGTCAAACAGCTGGAAGATAACATCCAGAGGTAGGTGGTTCCCCGCGCCGGCGCCCACCCCCGACCCCTCCCGCCCTGGGGTCTTACAGTGCAGTAACCGCCACTGTCCTCTAGGGGGCCCTTCTCAGTGCCAGCCCCTTTGCCCAGAGCTTGGGAATTCTCTTCCTAAAAACAGAGTACATTGGGAAAAAAAACAACAACGGAGTACATTGGTATCATTTAAACGTTTCCAGATAAACCCGAGTTACTACTCTGAGTACTAATTACTGTAGGGGCTGTTATCGGTACAGTGATGTTTTCCTGGAACAGTGAGGTGTTGGAAGCAGCTCGCCCCTTGAGTAAATGCCCACCTTTTTTGAGTTCTTCCACCAGCTTTTGTCTTTTTCCTCCTGTGAGTCAGGCTGTTAGCTGTTGTTGCTGCTGTAGTGGGTCTCTTTCCTACCTTTGATCAATCTGAAGTGGGAAACGGTAGCCAGGGGTCTGAGAACGAGAGACGTGCCGAATGAGGGTACCACTGTGAGTTACGTGCCTGAGCTCTAAAATTAACGTTGTACTGTCTGCTTGCACTGCTCAGAGGGTGAGTTGGGTTCCTTTATGGTTCCCAGCCAGGTTCTGAACATTTCCGTCTGGGAGATAAGTGCCCTTCCTGTGGCCAGTGGTTGGCCAGGTTCACACAGAAGCAAAAACATAGGTTCATACTTGAAAACTGTAGTTGTACCAGGTCCCAGGACACCTAGCCAGAGATAAGAGAGGGGGGTGGAAAGTGGCGATCAGAGATGCCTTAGAACCGAAGCTCTCTCTCCATCGCATCCCACCAAACCCCGCCTCAAATCTCAACCTCAAGAGCTTCATCTCTTTCTCCTGAGGGTGCAGCCTTGTTTAGAAGACAGGGCAAGAGCTACGTCACTACCAGCCTTTAAACCCAAGCATGTATGAGGACTGTGAGAGTCCCTGGGGACTCCAGTACTGTTACAGAGGGAAATCAGACTGGCCATAAGCCCTAAAGGCCTGGGTCCCTATTTGCTCGGGCCCTAATGTCCCTTGAAGTGTTCTCAAGAGCAGCTAAGCTAAATTTTGCTTATAGAGGAAATTTGCTAAGAAAAAGTTTGTATGCGATGTACATATGTGCACATACACATATGTGTATGTGAACGTGTATACACGTGTACATACATGTGTGAGTGTGTGCTCAAAAACATGTATATGAATGTGTATACATATGCACATACATTATGTGAATGTGTATGCATGCACATGTATGTATCGGACACATGTAAGGAAATATGTCTGTGTACATGCAAGTGAGTATGTATACACATGTGCATGCACATGCGTGCAAATATGTATGCATGTGGATATGTGCGTGTATATAAATGCGCACATGCACACATGCACAACACGTGTGTGGATGTGTATGCGCATGTGTGCATTTACACGCGTGTGTATACATGTGCATATTCTCATATATATGTGAATGCCCACTTGCTTGTATACACATGCATGTGAATATGGATACATATGTATACGCACATTCATGTGTGTGAATATAGATACACGTGTGCATGCACATGTATGTGACTATGTATGTCCTGTGTGCACATACATGTGTGTGGGCATTATGCACGTATGTGTCTATGTACACCCACTTTTTTCTTTAGCATACAAAGGGTAAAGGCTAAACTATTACCAGCCATTTTAGATAGAGAGATCTCTACATGTCATTAGAAGAAGAAAACCTTAGTCCTGGGAAGACGACATCAAGCTTGTGAAGACAAGTGCCTCTAGGAAGTAGGAAAGCTCTCCTGTCGGAGCCCAGAAGGTAGGAAGGGGAGGGGCAGGAGCAAGTCGCTCAGCGTCCTGAGCCTCGGGAGTTCTTCTCCTCCGAAGTGGCTCAGCTGGCTGTGTCTTAGACAAGATAAGGGAGCCAGGGATTATTGAAAACATAGACGGTAGGTTGGGGAGAAAGAGTCCGCTCAGAGAAGTGGTTTTACAGGAAGTCTCGGAAGTTCAAGTCCATGGTGCTCTCAGCTGCTGGTGACCATGGATATTATACAGCAGCATCGCTTTCTCTCTACTCTCGTTAGAAGTTCCGTCGTCTTCGTTTCTTTCTCTCACTGGCTTTACATACTCATGACAGACGGGTCTGGCGCCGAGCAGAAACTCCCCACCTCTTTGTTGAATGAAGAATTGGGACCTGGCAGGCCACGTTTCAGGGGACCCCCGCCTGGCAAAGGAAGCCTGGAAGATTATTCTCCGGGCTAACTTCATCCTAGGAGCCCCGTGGCCTGAGCACAGTCTGTTGGCTACCGTGGATGCGAAGGGAGGCAGGGTACACACTGATGGGCAGAAAATTTTGTTTAAAATCATTTTTCAAACACTGGGTATCTTCTCTCACCGAGGCTGAACCTGTTCATTCATTTCATCCATTAGGTGTCATAGATGGAGGGCAGAAAGGATTTGGAAGACAGGATAAAATTAGGCCTGTGACCTTCTCTCTCTCTCTCTCTCTCTCTCTCTCTGTGTGTGTGTGTGTGTGTGTGTGTGTGTGTGTGTGTGTTTTAATGGCATTAGAAAATGTGGTCTTCCCACCAAACTCTCAGTTTGGCTTTGGCCTGCATACACGTAGACTATTATTCCGGTCTCACAGGAGGTAACCCTTACCTGTGAGATGAGCCATTACACGGAGGGAGAATCTTAAATCGAGACTCAGTTTGGGCTAAATTGACCCCCAGAGTAGGCATAAGAGTTCAGGGCTGGTTTAACGTTCATGCAGGCATCCCCATATTCGGAAAAATACGGAGCATCCCTTCTTATCTTTTGAGTCAACAGAATAAAGAGCTCGCGGATGTATGCGGGCAATCTCTCGGAGCTCACTGAAGACCCAGATAGCCGAGCCAGAAGGAGAGAAATCACAGCAGCCTAAAGGGCTGGGGATGCGGGTGCTTATTAGGCCTGGATTCAGGGCGCATGTCCTTCCAGCATAGTGATGGCTCTGCCTGGCAGTGGCCACTTGCTGGGGGTTGAGCTGTGTTCCCTCGAGCTGCTTTTCTGTAGGAGCAGGGCTGCCGCTGGGCGTCATTTCTTCCTCGGGGGCTCTGGAGGAAGGAGCTGCTTCCTGGAAGTCGGCTTCTGCTTCTTCTCATCTTACTCAAAACTTCTCTGTTGCACGTTAGCGTCTTCAGGTTCCTGTGCCAAGGGAAGAAAGGAGCTGTCCTGCTTTTTGCCTTAGAGGACCCTGAGCCCCCTCAGGAGCTTTCCTTAGTCAGGCATGGTTTAGTTCGCTCTCACAGCCCTAGAGCCACTGGAACAGCCCTAAAGGCTCATTGGAAGCACGGGCATCCTGTAGTCTTTGTGGTTCGGCTGTTCTGGCTCTGCTCATTTGGGCTGAGCTCAGCTAAGTGACACCAGGGCATAGGTTGGACGAGTCTGTGCTTTCTTCCCCCGGCCCTAAAGAGCTGACCATGACTGTTTCCTTTTACAGCAATGACAGAGGAGCCAGAGGACTGAGAGGAAACAGAACTGTCCATATGGTATTAGCCCCAGCAAGTCATGGCCACCCCCAAAATCAAGGCAGGGAGACAGTCCGCTTTTAGTGGAAGGAACTTTAGAATTGTGTGGCACAGGGCACAGATACAGGGAGGGGTGAGAATGGGGGCTCATAATTCACTTTTCCAGAAGCGTGATTGTTCAAGAGAGACCTGCAAGCATTAGGGGAAATATAAAAATATAGGGAAAATATAAAAATATAGAAAAGTGAATTCATGTGGAGGAAGATGAGCTAAAATTTTACAGCTTGAGAATTCAGAGGGACAGAGAGAAGAGAATGCAAGAAAACAGAAGTGGCTTTGAGATCAGATTCAGAATCTAATCTTTATAGAACCGGAATCCCGGACATTGACAACAGATCAAATGCAGAACCACTAAATAAAGGAATTCCAAAGGGAATTTTCTTTGTTTGAAGCAGAATATCAATCTTTAGATATTTAGATTTGAGCCCATTGATCTAAGTCTCTCCTGAGTGTAAAATAAATTCTCCTAAAGAGGTACACGTGGGGCGTCTGGGTGGCTTAGCCGGTTAAGTGTCCGACTCTGGATTTCAGCTCGGGTCATGATCTCAGGCTTGTGAGATGGAGCCGCATGTTGGGCTCCATGCTGTGTGTGGAAACTGTTTAAGATTCCCTCTCCCTCTCCCTCTGTCCCACCTCCCCTGACTCACTCTCTCTCTCTCTAAAAAATAAAAAAATATAAAATAAATCGGGAAACTGTTTTCAAACCATAAAGTAGATGAGTACCGTTGTGTCCCGAAGGTATTTTAGTCCCTGCTGGTGAACCAAGAGTAGCTTGAAGAACTTGAAGGAACAATAGAGAATAGTAATCAGAGAGCAGGGAGAATGTGTTCAAGGAAAGATTAAGGAAAATCAGTGTCATTTAAGTTTGGAAAAAGAAAAGGTAATAGCACCCTAACTCAGAACCTCAGTGTGGGTCGTTTTAGGCCATGTCTTAATTCCTTATGTCTGAATATTTAATTAATAGTAAATAAATTAATATTAATTCTTGAAGTCTGAATGTAATAAAGACTTCATATAAAGCACGAGAATTTGCACTTTAACATGCCTCTTTCCTTAGATATCTTCAGGAAGAAAGAATATGGCCTCATTTCCATTTCTGAGTCTACAGTTCTTTATAGTGTCAGCAGCCATGCAACAAATTCCAGGTTTCCCCGGCATGGTTTTTATAAAAGTGTTATTTGTAAATTGGTGGTTGTTTGGAACGAAGAATATTATCTCTCTTCCAAGACTGTTAGATGTGGTACTTAGATTTTGAAGACAGCACAGGTTAGATTTTGAAGAGGGGCAGAGGGAGGGAGGAAGGAACTAGACTATTAAATCCTGGGCCTTAGAATCACCTGGGAAGCTTTTTAAAAAAATATAGATTCCCAGGACTTATTCCAGAAAATTTGGATTCAGTGACCCAGGTAAGGAGCCCTGGAATTTTTTTTTTTTTTTAAGAGTGTTCCTGATCTATGCAGA